CATAATGGACCAATAAGCATGCGCACCTCACTTAATTTAGTAAGATATGAAAATGAGTGATTGATAAAAACATATTAATTATTACCAGATATATTTTATTCCATACAGATATTTGTATTGTAACCTCTGTTTTACCTTATAAAATGGAATTTCAGTTGAGCACCGAAAGAACCTATGTAGCTGAATTAGAATCTCTGATAGAACACTATGTCGAACCCTTTCATGCGCCCGAATATCAGCAGGGCATTGCGGGGCCAATTCGCGGACGAAGTGATCTGGTCTTCGGTAAACCATTTTTTCTCTTCAACGACATCATTTTAACATGGATGATACCTAACAACCTTTTGATAGTTCTATACACTACATTTATTAGGTAATCTTCGCGAACTTCTTCATTTTCATTCTCGTTTCCTTTTGCCGGACTTACTGTCAAACGAGAATTCGCCAGCTGGTATTTGCCGCGTTTTCGTCCAGCATGCTAATAGGTTTGTTCGAAATGAAGACATGTTGAGCTAGAAGGGAATGCCCGTGCTTAATTGATTCCTTTTGCAGATTTCTCTCTTTATATCACGCATATTGTCAAAATAAAACTGCTAGTGATGCGATTCGCAAAGAATTCTGCGAGATGTCCTCTTTCTTTGCGGTAACTTTTTTAAAATATTGTCTCACTTACAGAGAAGACCTTCACACTCTCCATTTAGGATTGCCAACGGCGTGCCGGTCATCCTTTGCCTTTGGGAGCATATCTGCTGAAGCCCGTGCAAAGGATTACCAAATACCAACTTCTTTTGCGAGAACTCGAAAGGCACTGCCGTCCTGAGGTATCTACTTGACTTTTCAGGTGCAAATGAAGGAAAATGAATAAAAAGTGTATAGGTCCGCCCGGAAGTTGCAGCTGCATTATCTACGATGTTGGAGTTACTTGCACAGATCAACGCCGCTATTCACCAACTTCATATTTCAGGTTTTAATGTGAGTCAACGTAATATTAATATGTCCAAATGATTGAAATTACACTTTAAGGGTGATCTACGTTTACTGGGGCCGCTTAGATTGCAGTCTGAATGTGATGTATATCAATTTAGCCGCAAAAAGAAGGGGAAAACGGCACGAGCGCAGCGAAGGTAAGTAGCCAACTTAAGTAGTTTC